ATCTTGTGAATTTGTTTTTCTTTTTTCTTTTATTATATGTAACTTCAATGATAATAATAATAATATTAATAATAATAGGTTATATGTTTTTATTTTTCTGTCTCATTGAAATAAATCACTTTATCAGGTTATCCTAGTAAAAGGATGAAATAGTAAATGTTAATTATGAAATATCAAATATAGTAAAACTATATATATATAATTATTATTATTTTCCACTTCAGTTCTTAACTAATCGTATATGTGTGTGTTTTATTTATTTATTTTTTATTGCTGAAAACGAGAACATACAAAAGAGTAGCTACACAACACAAAATATCAACAATAGTGACACTTGAAAAGACAACAACAAAAGTAAAACATAGTAAAAATACAATAATTAAAAAATAAAGTAAAAAAAAAAATGCAATAAAGGGCCATTATTTCACATAGGATTTCTTACACAAAGACTTTAAATGCGGAGCAGATTCTTACAGTCTTTCTAGCTTTCTTACTACTATTAGTAGACATCGACATCGCATTCAAATAGTTCTCCATGTCCCTTAAAAATACCACAAAGACAGGTTCTGAGAATCTGCATTTGAGAATGTAACATTTGCTTAAGAAAATAATAAAATTTATAATACAACAATTATGTTCTTTTTTTATTTTTATTTTTTATTGCATAACAAGAACAATAACAACATACATATACAGAGGATCACAATGTATTCAACTATTATCTATTACATTCATAATAGCATCAAAGGAAACAACAGAAAGAGAGAGAGAGAGAAAAAAAGACAGAAAAAAAAATATATATACAGGGGAAAAAAATTACAAAAAGTTGCAAAAAGAAAAGGATTCAAAAATTCTATACATCCGTTTCGCTTTTTTATTCCTTGCATCTTTTAGGGCCTCAATATAATGCTTAAGTTCAATTTTAAATAATATAATGTTAGGTTTATTATTATTCCATTTCACAATTATGTTCTTCTGTGGGCTCCGGCAGCGTGACGTCATCCGGCTGAACCGAGCGCAGGATTGATGAAGGAGTGGTTTCTCTTTCCGACCGCTGCTTCACTCAAAGCTGAGGAAGAAGAAGAAGAAGAAGAAGCTATTTCACTCAGCTTTACAAACGAACCATGCGCCTTCACACACAGCGTGTTTGAGGAATGAGAGACAGAGTCGGATCTTCTGCTTTGTGTTGTTCTGACTTCACTGCTGGGATGGTAAGCTCATTAAAATGCCTCGGAATGCTGTTACACCATCCACAGAGATCTGTGTCGAGCTAGGACAAAACACGGTTCGGTTTGCGGAAACAAAAGCGCTGTTTAGGAAAACTGTGGCATTCAAAACGTATGAATGAGCTGGAGTCGGGTGTGTAGTTTCTGAGGAAGTTCCCTGCAGTCAAACATAGTGCTTTAATAGTGCGATGGCTTTTGTTTGGGCCGTGTTTTAAAAATGCAGTGGTTTCTGGGTAAACACACTCTGCTTTATTGACTCCAGGGTTTGAGTTTTGGCCCTTTAAGGGTTCCGGATCGTCCCCCAGACTGGTCTTTATGTGAGGAACCACACCCTGCTGGACTCTGCTGGACTCTGCTGGACTGGAAGAGTCTGGATGCAGCTTCTGATGCTCTGGATTCACATCACATCTGTTAGATTAGCTTTTATTATGCCGTCTGGACAAAGTCTGGACACACTCTTAAACCTGAGACTGCACTGTAAATCAACTCAAATTAGACATTAAAACACTTTGAACTCACTCCACCAGCACCTGAAACCAGCTCTCAACTTTATCTTTTCTTTGACAAAAAAACAAAAACAAAGAATTTTTTTTTCTAAGAAAAATATATATTCTTTAATATATAATTTTATTTTGTTATAAATTATGTTATATATGTATTGTATATAATTTTCAAATGTTTACATAGTGTAAAATATTTCCCTTTTTCTTTTCTTTCTTTTTTTTAAATGTAATTTTATTGTTTTATATGCAACTTCCATAATAACCTTTTTAACCTTCAGGGAAACAATTTAGAATTTAAAAGTTGAAGTATTATAAAAACCTTTTTGTGCCAAACTCAGTTAACAAATAATTCCAAAATTTGGATTTTAAAATACTTCTGTATGATTTATTTTTTTATATAATAATACTAATACTAATACTACTACTAATAACACTAATAACAACAACAACAACAATAATATTATTGTTATTATTGTTATTATTATTGTTGTTGTTGTTGAATTGTGTGCTAGGCTGTATGTTATGTGTGTCTGATTGTTTGATTGCTGGCTGTGTTATTCAAGTCCAAAACAAATTTACCAAAAATGTGACATTCTATTCTATTCTATTCTATTCTATTCTATTCTATCCTATTCTATTCTATTCTATCCTATTCTAAGCATTTTAGGATGCTTAAGTTGAAAGCAAATAGATGAATCTAGTATAACCTGCTCTGTAGTGTTTAGGAAAAACTGTATCAAACTTGTGTGCATCTTGAATTAAGACTGCATTTCCCCTCTCAGATCTGACCGTTGTGTTTCTACAGAGCTGTGTTTAACAGTAATCACTTAGTAGGATATTATACATTTAGTACCTGCCGGCTAAACAGTGGCCTGTGATTTAGTGAGGAGAGTAATAATACAGGTGTTTGTTTGAGAAGAGAGAAGATAAATGTGCTTGTGTAAACTTGAGCCTCAGTGCCAAACGTCTGAATAGATGCTGCAGGATTTAATGTATTATACAGCATTAAAAACTCAATGAGCCGTGGCCCGGGCTAGAAGATTACTGTAGTTTTTCTAGAGAAAGTACTGGATGTTCAAGCAAAGCAGCAAGTGATTTATTTTTTTGACTGTAGTGTTGATCATAGATTATGCTTACATGCATATTCTGTTCATTTGACTCGTACTGTAAATTCAGCAGATTGAGCTGACTGTATAAAACCATAGTGAAATTTAAAGGAATTGTTCACCCAAAAATGCAAATTTGCTGAAAATGTGCTCACCCTCAGGTCATCCGAGATGTAAATGAGTTTGTTTCTTCATCAGGTTTGTAGAAATGTAGCACTGCATCAGTGTCTCATCAATGGATGCTCTGCAGTGAATGGGTGCCGTCAGAATGAGAGTCCAAACAGCTGATAAAAACATCACAATAATCCACAAGTAATCCACAGCACTCCAGTCCATCAGTTAACATCTGGAGAAGACAAAAGCTGAAACACATCCAGCATTAAGACGCTTTTATCTAAAATACGAGTCCATAGTCCATAATAACTCTTCCTCCAGTGAAAAAGTGTTCTGGTGTGAATCAGGAGAGAAATCTGCACAGATCAAGCAGCGTTTAAACAGCTCTAAACACATATGTGGCTGGATTTTGATGTGAAAGACAACAGATGCACTTTTTCACTGGAGGAAGTGTTATTATGGATTATGAACTCGTATTTTAGTTAAAAACGTCTTAATGCTGGATTAGTTTCAGCTTTTCTCTTCTCCAGATGTTAACTGATGGACTGGAGTGCTGTGGATTACTTGTGGATTATTGTGATGTTTTTATCAGCTGTTTGGACTCTCATTATGACGGCACCCATTCACTGCAGAGCATCCATTGCTGAGACACTGATGCAATGCTACATTTCTACAAACCTGATGAAGAAACAAACTCATCCTGATCTTAGATGTACATTTTCATTTTTTGGTGAACTAGGCTATTCCTTTGAGTCTAGATTAATTTTTTCAACAGCACTGCATTGAAAGTCACTGACAAAGTGATCGAGGCCAACAAAAACAGTCTGAGGCTTTCTGAGAATCCAGAAGGAAGGAATGAGTGAGGAAAAGCGCTATTAGACCTCAGACTGTTTGAAGTTCATGCAGACAGTTCCTGCGATCTATAAAGTGTGCAGTTTAATCATGCTGTGCTTTTATGCATGTGGAAAGAATTACTAAGTTGTTTAAGCCTGACTAGTTATTTTGAACTTTGTCTCAAAAGAGAGTTAAATCGGTCTCAGTTTCTGAAGAGCGTAGCGGTGCTGTTGTCTGACCACATGCTTTGTGCTGAGTGCAGGGTTTGTCCGCAGAAAGCGGTCTGATTATGACTAAAGCATAGCGCAGGGGTGACGTCGTCTCATATTACTGAACGCTGACCTGCTGGAAGAGTTTAGTCAGAGCTCACACGAGTCTTTACTTTTACGAGATTACCGTACAGTCGTGTAATTGTGCTGCTTATGCTCAGAACTTGATCATGTTTCTCTTAAAACACAAAGATAAGGTGGAGATCTGAGCGAGCGGATCACAAAGTCAGCTAGTAATGCAGCTGTTTGTGTCTGTCAGTGGGTTAAAGACCACATGAAATCAAAACTGGACTCTTGTGAGTCTTTAGCTATATCTGCTTCTGCAGGAGGTAAAAAAAAAACTGTATTGGATGCTTTTCCTAAATATAAAGGAAATTAAATATATTCATGAATAAATCTACTGTTAAAAAATTCTTTAATGTTTTTGAAAGGAGTCTCTTCTGTTCAGCAAGGCTGCATTTATTTGATCAAAAATGCAGTGAAAATTGTGCAATATTATTATAAGTTAAAATAGCTGTGAATATCTGTTAAACTGTAATTTATTTCTGTGATGCGCAGCTATATTTTCAGCATCATTACTCCAGTCTTCAGTGTCACATGATCTTCAGAAATCATTCTAATATGCTGATTTGCTGCTCGAGAAACATTTCTGATTATTATCAATGTTGAACACAGTTGTGCTGCTCAATATTTTTGTGGAAACTGTGATGCATTTTATTTTTCAGGATTCACAGATGAACAGAAAGTTCAAAAGAGCAGCATTTATTTGAGATAGAAATTTACTGTAACATTATAAATGTCTTTACTGTCACTTTTGATCAATTTAATGCGTCCTTGATGAATAAAAGTATTAATTACCTTCAAAAAAAACTGAGTGACCCCAAACGTTTGAACTGTAAAAAGCAGGATTTCTTTTCCTGTTACAATAAGAAACATGTCGTCACAGGAAAGAAAACAATCCATTTCATGTGGTTTTTAGAGGTTTGACTTACCTTTTTCCAGAGAAAAGAAGGAAAGGAAGAGGAAGCGAGAAAAGGATGTAGAAATTGTGACCAGGTTTAACAGGATGCACTGAAATGTAAAATTAGATATATTAACATCCTGGTCATCAACCAAGTGACCATATAAGCCATGCACTACAGTAGAAAACAAAGTGAATTCTATTGCATTTCAGTAAATGTGAAAATGTTCACTTTTAGTCGTCTAAATATAACAGAAGCATAACAGACTTTATAGGAGTGGAAACGGAAAAAGTGAATTCACTTTATTTTTATTCCAGGTGTGAACAGAATCCAGGAGTCACTCATGAACTCTAACAACAATAGCAATGTTTTAGTTAATTAATATTAGTAACTAGAGATGACTGGCAATTTTTAGGATGCACTTGAAGTTAAATGCATTTGTTGCTAACTCATTGAATTTAACTATAGAATAGAGTTGAACAAATAACCAAAATCATTCATGAAACATCAGTAGAACAAAATCTTGTTTAAATCATTCATAGATGAATTGGTGCATTGAATCCAATGACAAATTACATAAGAAAACTTGTGTGAACTGTTCAGTAATGACAGCAATTACAGTTTAACACATATTCACATAGAAACAAGTTATTTTAAATTGTAATAATATTTCACAATATTCGTGTTTTTATTGTCTATTTGATCAATTAAATTAAGTCTAGGTGAGTATAAAAGACTGAGCATAAAACTTACAGATGCCAAACTTTAATAATAATAATCACCATCATCATCAATATTATTATTATTATTATTATTGTTATTATTTTTATTTTTATCATCAATGTAAAAATGTGGAAATGTAAGATAAAATACAAACATTAAAAAAAAAAAATCTTGAAATGTAAAAAAATTGGAAATATATAAATATGGAAATACATAAATTTTAATAAATAACTAAATATATAAATAAATGAAATAAACAATAAAGTTAAAATATTTAAAAAAAAGTTAAAAATAAATACAGAAAATAAATAATGATTAAAGGAAAAAAAAAGATGCAGAAATAAATTCACGACTAAATTTAAAAAAAAGCAATTGCATTTATTTTATTAAATCATATTTATTTATTTTCTCATGCAATTTACTCCTGTCATAGCACCTTTTGCAGTAACGCTGAGAATGTATTTGTATAATAATAATCACCATCATCATCAATATTATTATTATTATTATTATTGTTATTATTTTTATTTTTATCATCAATGTAAAAATGTGGAAATGTAAGATAAAATACAAACATTAAAAAAAAAAAATCTTGAAATGTAAAAAAATTGGAAATATATAAATATGGAAATACATAATAATTAATAAATAACTAAATATATAAATAAATGAAATAAACAATAAAGTTAAAATATTTAAAAAAAAGTTAAAAATAAATACAGAAAATAAATAATGATTAAAGGAAAAAAAAAGATGCAGAAATAAATTCACGACTAAATAAAAAAAAAAGCAATTGCATTTATTTTATTAAATCATATTTATTTATTTTCTCATGCAATTTACGCCTGTCATAGCACCTTTTGCAGTAACGCTGAGAATGTATTTGTGTTGCGCTAATATGAATTGAATTGTGCATTTTGACAAGTAGCGCAGTGTGAAATCAAGTTTGCGAGGCTGAAAGTGTTTGCGTTCATATACTGCACTTTCATGAAGTTTGTGGCCTAAATCAGTATTGAGTCCTTTAGAAGCTTGTTTTGACATCACATATATTTGAACACTTAGATTGTCTGTGTGTTCACCGCACTGGAAAGGTCAAGATCCGGCCATAAATCATGAAACATTGACCCTTTTAAGATGATGAATTTCACAGCAGCCAAACGTGGTGTGTGTGTGTGTGTGTGTTTATATATCTATAATTTAGATATAAACCCTGTGTGTTTTCAGTCGTCCCTTCCATCAGTCACTCAGCTCCAGGTTAATCAGTCTCTCTCTCTGTTTTTCCCCACAGTGCCGTGATTGAAAGATCTGCCCTGCTGTTACACACACTCATCGTGGGATCACACACACACACACACACACACACACACACACACTCTCACTCTCGTCTCAGCATGCTGGCTCTCCTGTTGTGTGCTCTGCTGGCTCTTCACGCTGACGGTGGGTGATCTTCTGCTCCCTACATGCTGATTAGCCAAAGATCACAACCTGTTAACCTGAACCACACAACAAACAAACAAGCAAAGATAGAAATTAATAAACAGGCCAGGGCTACAAAATCATGGGAAACTGCACGCACGCGCACACACACACACACACACACACACACGCACATTTATTTTTTATTTTGGCAGGTGGCTTACACTGCAATTTAAATATTTTTTAAAAGAAATTAATACTTGTATACATCAAGGATGCATTAAATTGATCAAAAGTGACAGTAAAGACATTTATAATGTCTTTACTGACATTTATAATGTTTATTAAAAGCCTTTTGAACTTTTTGAAAATTCAGCTTTGATCACAGAAATAAATTGCAGTTTAACAGATATTCACATAGAACAAAGTTATTTTAAATTGTAATAATATTTCACAATATTACTGTTTTTATTTTATATTTGATCAATTAAATGCAGTCTAGGTGAGTATAAAAGACTGTGCATAAAACTTACAGATGCCAAACTTTAATAATAATAATCACTGTCATCATCATCATCATCATTATTATTATTATTATTATTATTATTATCAATAATAATATTACTATTTATTTAAAAAAAATATATAATTTGTTTTGTGATATATATTATAATTATATTTTCATAATTAATTTTTTTAAGTGTGGGTTAAGTGTCCAGTTTGAAAACATGTATAGTGTATACGGTCTATACTTAATAACAGAACAACAAAAAGCAGATAAATAATATTGAAAAGTGATCCCCATTGATCTTGGAGTGATGTTATTAAATTAGAAACTACGACAGTGATGCAGTTTCATTAGATTACATGCATCTAAAATCATGCATGACATTGACATGTTCTGAAATATCAACGTTTGCACTGACAAAATGCTAGAATGTGTGTCTGTGAAATTTGGTTTTATAGACACTCAGCGTGAAAAAAGATTTGATCCTTTCCTATTAAAAGTCCATCAGAGGCTTAAATGGCATATCCTTAGTTAAATTTGCATAATGCATAAAGGGATTCTTGCGTGAATATTATAAGATAGAATCCAAAATGAGCTCTTTAATTGATTAATACCTGCCTCTCTGCAGGTAAAACTGTCTCTCTAGACTTTATACTAATGCAAAGACTGTTTACAGCGGCGTAAAACGGTGAAGGTCAGAAATGTGCTGAGGAAAGTGAAAAAATCAAGTCTGTGATTTTTAAGGTTATTCTTTGAAAAGAAAAGAGCGAGGAAGACAGAAGAAAGGTTTTCCCCTCTGACTCAGATGCTGTGGCCCAGTTTTGCTGTTTGGGCTTGTGTTGTGTGCGTCTGCGGATGAAAACCAGCGCTCGGGTGTGGCGTGTTGAACTAAAACCACAGTTATGACTCTGTTTCACAGCTCACAGTTTAATCCCGGTTATAGAAGTGTGCTGGAACTGTGAGCGTTATTGCTGAGAGGATCCTCAAAATACGTGAGGAGTGTCTAAAATACAATCTAAGAAGTCTCTCAACTTTTACCTTTCAACAGAAGAGCGTAACTCAATATACGAGACATGAATTATGAGCTCATATGCCTCCATGATATCATTCCCAGTTTCTCCATTTTTCTGTATTTTGGACACATATATGGTACACTAGTTACAGCTTAGGCCCTGCAATTGGACAGCTGCTAATGTGGTTTCCCAAAGCAGCGCGTCCTGAGGAGACCTAGACAGAGTTTTGCTGCATTTCGCTGATTTTTGGGGAGAATCTGTGAATTTTGACATAAAATGTGTTAAACTGAAGTTCTAAACTTTTACTAGGAATGTGGGCCGTGTAGAACTCCTTACCAAGTATTGCATAATAAATTGGTTTGATAGGATTCTTGAAGGAATAGTTCACCAAAAAATGAAAAATCTGCTGAGAATGTATTCATCCCCAAGCCATCTGAGATCAGGATGAGTTTGTTTCTTCATCAGATTTAGAGAAATGTAGCACTGCATCAGTGTATCAGCAATGGATGCTCTGCAGTGAATGGGTGCCGTCAGAATGAGAGTCCAAACAGCTGATAAAAACATCACAATAATCCACAAGTAATCCACAGCACTCCAGTCCATCAGTTAACATCTGGAGAAGACAAAAGCTGAAACTAATCCAGCATTAAGACGTTTTTAACTAAAATACCATTGAGTCCATAATCCATAATAACGCTTCCTCCAGTGAAAAGGTGTTCTGGTGTGAATCTGCACAGATCAAGCAGCGTTTACAAGCCAAAACAGCTGTTGTTGTGTATCAATGTTGTGTGTTGTTGCTGTTGTTGTTGATGATGGTGTTGTTGTTGTGTATCAATGTTGTGTGTTGTTGTTGATCTTGTTGCTGTTGTTGTTGTTGTTGATGAATTCACATGGAAATCAATCTCTCACATACAGATGATTTGATCTATGTGTGGTCCGGTGTTACCCATGATGCATTGTGATGCTAATGTCGCTGAGGTGATGCTCTAGCGCGCTATTTTGTGTTTATTTTATTATTAAAGTGAATATGAATGTTCGCCGGTTCCCGCCTCCTTCTTCCCGTGACTACGAACTTTGTTACAATGGTGTTGTGTATCAATGTTGTTGTTGTTGCTGTTGTTGTTGATGATGGTGTTGTTGTTGTGTATCAATGTTGTTGTTGCTGTTGTTGTTGTTGATGATGGTGTTGTTGTGTATCAATGTTGTGTGTTGTTGTTGATCTTGTTGCTGTTGTTGTTGTTGTTGATGATGATGTGTGTTGTTGATGATGATGTTGTTGTTGCTGTTGTTGTTGATGATGATGTGTGTTGCTGTTGTTGATGATGATGGTGTTGTGTATCAATGTTGTTGTTGTTGCTGTTGTTGTTGATGATGGTGTTGTTGTTGTGTATCAATGTTGTTGTTGCTGTTGTTGTTGTTGATGATGGTGTTGTTGTGTATCAATGTTGTATTTTGTTGTTGTTGCTGCTGTTGATGATGATGGTGTTGTTGTTGTGTATCAATGTTGTGTGTTGTTGTTGTTGTTGCTGTTGTTGATGATGGTGTTGTTGTTGTGTATCAATGTTGTGTGTTGTTGTTGCTGTTGTTGTTGTTGATGATGATATTGATGATGATGTGTGTTGCTGTTGTTGTTGATGATGATGTGTGTTGCTGTTGTTGCTGTTGTTGATGATGATGGTGTTGTTGTTTTGTATCAATGTTGTATGTTGTTGTTGCTGCTGTTGTTGATGATGGTGTTGTTGTTGTGTATCAATGTTG